TTGTAAGCCGTTGCCTCGCAGAGTGAATGTAGTGTGGTAGCAAGAAACCACGCGTCCCTGGCTTCTTTATCTCGTCATTTCGAGTGACGAAATTGGCGTATTCCCTGCGAATGCGGATAATGATGCCAAATGCAGTTAGGCATTTCAAAGACCACTTGATCGCGGGGGCTGTCTTTAACCCATCGTTATGCTGTACCTCCTTTGAGCGAAGAACTTGAACTTGGAGAGGGACAGACTGACTATTGTTAGCATGAAAGACCACTAACCGAAAATATTTGGCGCGAAGTGTAACAAACATATGGACCAACCTATTTTGTACACTTCTTCAACTCACCGTTAAACATGGAATTGGCCACGAATCCACATGGGGCATATGTGATATTGTCGAAACCATCTAGGTAATCCAACGGGCTGCAACCAGACACCTGGAACGATTGACACTTCGTCGTCATCGAAAGGTTCGCCCAAGCAGGGACACCGACTATTGTGTAAAACTTGGTGACTCTTTCGAACAACCCCTCTCCAAAATATTTTTCTTTGGAACGTCACCCTTTCCCATCCTACCCACCATCCTGTCAGCTTTCTTGTTCCATAAAGGTGACGAGTAGAGCGTGGGGGGGGGGTCAAACCATTCAATCAGCTAATCAGCTATCAAGAACAATATCCGAGTAGAGGGAAGGTATTAGTCTCAAACAGGAGAAGAAAAAATGATAAGCAGAAGAAATTTCTCTCAACAAGCCCTCTCTCCCTCGCGGTCAAAAGCAGCCTTCATTCTTCACAGAAAGGATGGTAAACTTGCACCCAAACCGTGTCTTTCTATTATACATTGTATGCGTTTATTTACATAACCACATTACGTCTGAAGGGTTTGGAGCCTCACCTTGCCAAGATTACCTAATAACTGGAGATCATTTCGCGAATCGACATACATTCGATTATTCTGATAGAATTCTCGGAGACCATAGTAGAATTTGACGTCTCCCTGGAAGGTTCCATAAACTGCTATTCAAGGAACTACATAAAAAAGTCAAATGTGGCGATTACTGTATAGTTCTCAGTGATAGAGAACGTAAGGTGGCACTGCGTGGAACCGTCTGGATAAGAGAAATCTTCGAGCTGATCGGTGGAATATCCCGTGCTGGTCGTACAATTCGTGTACTCAATTACAAGCTCCAACGCTGAAATGACAGCAAATTCAGGCACTTTCCTACTTCCATATCATAGATTGTTCCAGGAAAATACTGAAAGAAATGTGTTCCGCTAGTTTTTTTTGTGAAAAAATGTTCGCAAGCTACGTTCTGCTGTCTCACTTCCGACCCGTTACGGTAGTGGAAGCCTGAATTCAACTAGGCCTTAGGTAAGGAAAGGTATTAGGTAATTACTACTTAGGTAATTACTATACAGCATTCTTTCTGCCCTCAGTACTGATTTACGGACAAGGAGTACGAAGAATATGCAACTTAAAGAAAGTGAAAGTAAAGCTTTGTTCATCTGAGGACGTAAGCAGTAACGAAGTCAAGGAAGGCTCTACAATGGGAGGTGCCGGAAAAGCAGCTGGACACCGGACGAGAGATAGCCTGCCGCTGTACAATCCACATCCCGGGGATGTAGAGAAGTTCTATATCACCTGTTTGTGAGCAACTCGCCTAGCGTTGGCACAGCAGCGTTGAGAAATTGAGACAGGAAAGCGCTCAAGGCACTTCGTGTTTATGGGCTGACTCGCGTTTGAAGACAGACTATGCGTCCGATCATTTCGTAGGATTCCTTCCCTGCCCAAGTAGTACGATGGGTGATCGCAAAATTGCCCCTTTTTCACGTCTCCACGATGGATGAAGGGGAGCAGCGATCATTGCGTTGGAGTTGTATACGGCATGTCGTACCTTATATAGAGCTCCGCGGCCCCTGATCAAATGGGACAATCATGATAAGTAATCTACTGGACTGTTATAAGGGAACGGTTGAACGAGAGCCTGTCCTCGAAGTGATATTTCGATTTTGAATAGAGATAGGGTGCTTGCCACATCCCAACGAGGGGTTGATAAAAGCTGAAAGGTCTATCTTTTAAAGTCCTATTTTTATTCAAGGAAATGCTTAAAAGCTGTGAAATCGCGTTCAAAGAAGTACCAAAAACTAACACTCATCCATAGCGAATTTCAGTACGATTCCCATAGCAAGACACAGACATCCAACAATTGCCACCCAAGGAAAAGTATTATAGGCGGTTATAACAGGTCTATAAGCTGGAAGTCTTTGCTGCCTCCAAGCACTGTCTGAAATGATTGGCTGCTAGGTAAAACGAGAAGTGCAGCCCTGTTCACTGCGGATGATGGGACGTGCCAGTGAGGCTGGGTTTCACGCACCGCCAGCCCCTCTAACGTAGAAAGTGACTTATAAGAACGAAATGATACAGTCTACGTTCGCTCAAAGAAAAAAAACATCAAAGAAGTGGGCTGATACAGGGCACATCATTGGTTGGGGATTTTAGTCGAGTCTGTACGACCCCCCCCTTTTTTGGGGTTGGTACGACCCCCCCCCTCCGGCCCTCTGTCCCTCCTCATCGAATCGAGCCGTCGAGCGGGGGGGGGGGGGGGGGACAGGACAAAGTCGCGAGACAGTACGATCGCCCCCCCCCATCTACAAATTGTTAGATTTTCGCCCCACTTCTTCCCCACTTTTTTCGCAAAAATCCTCAAAAAGTGTCCCTACGTCCCCAAAAACCTTACAACTGGCTGGTCTGAGGGGGGGGGTATATAGTCGCATGACACAGAAAATCACGAAAGTCAACCAAAGGCTCCTACAACCAACCAAAACGTAAATTACTACCTCCCCATCAAACACCCACATGACCAAAGAACGACTCGGCCTATACAACGTCCGTGAAGTGCGAGAAAAATCAACCATCCAAAATAAAATTTTACCAGGCGAAAAAAAAAGGAAATCTACGACGCCCCTCCAAGTACACCACCCTATTGGGGATTCCCCAACAACGATGTGCCCTGGGCTGATAGCGTGTCCAACCCAGCCCACTGACGCTTTTGTATCGATCGCGAGGCACTGCAGAGGAAACTTCGATCAGAGGGAGATTAGGACTCAAAAGTTTAGCACCACACTTTTTGGTTCGTTTCCTTCCTGCTCCTACGTGAGGATTTGTGGGATCAACGTCCGGCGGCATCCTCAAGCACTGCTATCTCCTAAGCGCTTCTTCTTCCAAGTAGCAACGTTCATAGCGGAAGCAGTACAGTTTTTTTTTCGAGGTGACTGCCGAAACTGGAATTTTCATTTCGTGAGAAGAATAAAGGATAAAAGGATGAAATAATTTGCCGTGGATACTTCACGCACTCCTTCTCCATTCAGAATCGTATTGCCTTACATACAATGAATTGCGGGGGTCAGCCAATGCACCAGTCAGTGTCCTTATACTCCCATGACAATCTGTTGGGCTAATTCACCGTACCTGGAGGTTAGAAGACTTGCTTAACCTGGACGGGAGTTGACCCGCGATTTGAACCCAGGACTGCGCGGGTGGTGAGCGTGCCACTTGTCACTAAACCATCTTCGCCTCTTAGAGGCAGGATAATAGGCAAATTGCGACCACGCTTAGAAGTCTACACTAATAATCTCCAGAGATAGGTTGAGCTGCCCATTATTGAACACTTTTTTCTTCGTTCCATATATGAAGGAGGTTGAGCGGTAAAGAGAAGCCAGCTACCGCAGGGATGTGTCGAGAAATCGAACGCTATGCCTTAAGGTCCTGTGTCTTGCCAGCCAACGCTTTCATGAGTACTGTTCAGCTAACAAGTGGTGTAAGCGACTACCACGAGACCTCGATGCCTTTGGAAGGTAGAAGACTTTGGTTCGCATATTGGAGGAGCATCCTATATGAGTGTAGAGTCATTAGCAATGCAAACGAGAGGGAGTCCGAAGAGTTGCGGGTTGAAGCGCTGCCAGAGCAGAGCCTTTCCCACCTACTGCTTAGGGCTCAGAATGGCATCAGTTGATGAAAATGACCGTTTGGTTGCGCTCCGTTGGGGCTCTTTCAAGCGTGCTCTCCATTGAAGAACTAATACTGCATGTAATGCATGCAGTAAGATTATGAATGCGATTCTGAACGGATGTCGGATGTGCGACGCATTTCAAAAATAGACTGATCAATACAGAAATTCTTTTTCAATAGAGTAAAAGCCACGCTTCCATTGCATCAAATATATAGCCCCAGAATGATTCTGAGGAAAACCGTGCTGGGTTATTCGTGAATACTAACTTTCAAATCAACATATATCTGTTCTGTCAGAACGAATTATAGTAACCAGTCGGCTCGCCGGCTAACGCCGGCGCGCCTCCTTCTGATACGGCCCGGCTGCGCGTATTTTCTTTCACATATTTCTAGACTCAACTGATATCCGCCTTTTGTTCTGTACTCCACTTTTTCCGGTGTCTGAAGTACTCTTGAGCTATTTTACAGATTCTTCGTCTGACTCCCGCCACCTCGGAGCAGGCCCCGCCCACATGTTTGCGCCTAGAATCATTCATCCGGCGAACCCTTTGCTGACTATTATTATACCGCTTTTTCGCGGTGTCTGGATAGTGGCGCTGGAACCGCGTTGTTTAGCAGACCTTTTGTCTGACTCCGCCCATCTCTCGAGCGGCTCCGCCCACAGTGTTGCGCCACAAGCCCCCCCGCCCCCCCCCTCCTCACCTGGCTACCTTCTGCTAGGACTAGTCCAACTTTTTCCGGTATCTGGAGTGCTCTGGAACCGAGCTACAAACTTTTAAAATGAATACCCTGCGATTTAGGGCAAGCTCCGCCCACTGTGGGCGGGTCTCAGCACACTTATGGAAGCGAATTTGGTAGCCGCCGGTCTAGAAATGGCAAGGCGAGGGGGCAAACTTGATTTTTGTATGGGGAAAATGGCGCGAAAGAGCAAGGAGGAACTGCCAAAAAAACGTGCGAAATAATCCTATTGTTCATGCATAAACTAAAAGCAATTGTCGGACGAGTTTCCCGTAGGCATCTGCCAGTAACCGCTAAAAAGGTACACTGCAACGTATGTTACCTGTATCAGGCAGCACCGCGGCCTGCTTCAGGAGCAATCCGTTCACGCCGTTCAAATAATTATTAGCTTAGCACATGAATGACGGCAATACGACCCATCATCAGGTCTATTGGTCGTCCATCTGGGGGGGAGGGAGTGGGCGTCCGGGTCGATATGCTGCAACTTGGGGGCCTTAAATGGGGCCTTGAGGGTACCTTTGAAGGCGGCACACAGCGCCTGCTCCAGGGGAACTGAATTCTGTCCGCCAGACGTTTAAATGCCTTCTCACTTTAGGGGGGGGGGGGTTATCGTGCAACTGCCCTTTTGAAGTGGAGTCCGCAGAAAAGCGGCTTGCAGTGGCTTTATTGTTTATATTAGGTTGTCCGGAAAGTTCTCAGCGTTTTGTGCACCTATTTTTTGTACATTCACTGCTGATTAAAAACTCATTCTGCCTTGCTTCTCAGTAGCACATCCTGTAGAGAATTTCTTGCGCTATCTGATGGTATAATTGCCGTTTCACCATTGCTTGATAAACCCCTTTTTTCAAGATTTTTCAAGCATGTGAAAAGAGCACTTCGGACGATTTTTTTCTTCGACTATAAATTGGGGCAATCCGCAATCGAAACAGCTCAACAAATTAACCAGGTGTGGGGGCCCAATAGTGCTAGAGAAAGCACTGTGCGGCAATGGCTCAACAAATTTCGTTCTGGAGATTTCAGCCTTGAAGATGAACCTCATAGCGGTCGACCTAAAGCAATATCTGACGAGGATTTTAGGGGATTTTGGAAGGCTGACCCATCCCAAACAGTTCGAGAGATAGCAGAAGAGCTAGGCCTTGGCAAATCCACTGTTGCAGATGGTCTGGAACGCATTGGGAAGGTGAAAAAACTCGACAATTGGGTGCCCCACAATCGGAGTGACCGGCAGGAATCGGCACGTCTCGAGGTTCCTTCTTCACTGCTTTTGCGCAAAAGAATTGACCCGTTTTTGAACGGATTTGTCACCTGTGATGAAAAATGGATCATGTATGATAACAGGAGACGTTCCGGACAGTGGTTGGATTTGGAGGAACACGAAGCCCCGTCAATTTTCAAAGCCGAACCCTCGCGAAAAAAAAAAATTCTGGTCAGGTTTGGTGGTCATCGGCTGTTGTAATCCACTATAACTTTTCATCACCAGGCCAAACCATCACAGCAGAACCCTACTGTGAACAAACCGACCAAATGTACCGAAAATATTGTCAGCTGCAGCCAACACTTATCAAAAGAAAGGGTCCGATTCTTTTGCATGACAACGCCCGCCCACACGTTTCACAAATCACTATCCATAAATTGAACGAATTGGGAGTTGAAGTTCTACCTCACCCACCATATTCTCTAGACCTTTCACCAACCGACTGTCACCTTTTCAGACATTTTCAGAACTTCCTTGCTGAAAAATACTTCATCAATTAAGACCAGGCAAAAAAGACCTTCGCAGATTTCGTGGATTCTCGACCACCCAGTTTTTTCTTTGATGGGATTTCTCGACTGCTGTCACATTGGCAAAAGTGTGCTGATTCGAATGGTGCTTATTTGGATTAAATCCGATGAGTGTTAAGAGTTATGATCGTTTAAAGTTAAACACCCAAAACGCTAAGAACTTTCCGGACA